AAACAGGGCGGGGATAAGGTGAATGATCAAATCATTAAAGAGACGGACTATAGCTTGAGTTTGCAGCTCAGTTTTACCTTGAACATTGTGCTCATTGTTTCATTACAAACCCTTACTTACACTATTGTTCAGCTGCAATAATCCACCTTAAATTCTGGCAAGTAGCTCTTTACACACAGGTTAAAAATGAACCTCATGTGTTTGTTCTTCATTGTGCAAATAGTTTAGGCTAATTTCTTTGCATTAAACTCTTATTTAAAGAAAAATAGGTGTTTCTTATTTTTATTTTTATGTACAATATACACACACTCCACACAACAATAACTATAGTACACACTTATAAGGAAAACATTACATTCTCTCTTCATACCATTACATGAGAATCACTTTACCAGCATCAAATCTAATCACATTTTTAATTGGCAGACAAAGTTGAACCAAGTCCTAGCACTGACCCTTGGTCTACAAAAATTAGGACAAACCTTTGAGTAGCTTTTATTGGTAAACCAAATGGCAGCCACAGCTTGTGGACAAACTGTGTAGGAAAGCCCAGCCAGGCCAGTGACAGATGGTCCGAGCGAACAGGTCACTGTTGACAATGTGTGTTGCGTTCAGGAAAGCACATTCAGCACAATGGCACAGAAAGAGACAGAGAAGAGCCTGAAGCGTCTGCTGTGTCACTTTAGTCACATATTGACCCACACTCACAATGGATGGAGGCGCACACAGACACACACTTGCACAATGAGACAGAAAACAGCAGACTGTGGCCTATTTGCCGTGAACACCCTGGGACTTGGGCACAGTGCATGTTTTAGATGACACTAATTGTATTTTTTTTGTTTTCCCCCATCTCTATCTCACCTGCTCTCTGTTGCAACACAAACATCACCCCCTCCGACCCTCTTTTATGTTCCTCTCTGTCCTGCTACCACTTTGCAATTAAGCAAATGGGTCATTAATTAATCGCTACAGGCAAGAGGACATGGGAAGAGTTAATCAGACTGGATGT